ATATGTCTCTTTTTGACAACAGTTTGTTAATAATTCCCTCAAAAATACAAATAGAATATCAAGATTTGGCTCTATAGGCTTTTGGGGGTTTGGAGAAATGTTTGATTTATTGAATTTTAGAATATTTAGGAAAATCGGCTTTGAAACTAACCCAATCAGATTTGCCCATCCCTAATCCCACATAGCAGAAGGCTGTTGTTTTTTACCATTTTCTATTAGGAAAAATTGATTTTTTTAATAGTCTATGTAAGCAAATTGGATCTAACAGTTTATTGCAGTGATATATTTGCAATACAATTTTTTAATAAAAGATCGGCTAGAAAGGCAGAGTTATTAGGCTTAAAGGCAAAAGAGAAAGGGAAAGGGAAAGCGTTTTTCTCACTTAACATTGTGTGACTTAAAACTCTTGTGAAAATGGATTTTGTAGTTTTGTTCTTTAGTTACTACATTCTGAACATTGACCTACAACAGAAAACAAACTAGGAAAGGGTGCCTTGTATAGTTGATTTGGTTTCCAAGATCAAAAATCTATGAAAGGAAAATGTGAAACACTTGCAGGACTGTATCCAAAGGTATATACACTTGCTCTGCTAAACAGTATGTAAAATCTGTGTGGGGTCAAAATTGTATTTACATCTTGCACCACTGCCTGTTATATTGTAAGGACCATTCTTAAACTGCAAGACCTCATGAAACGATGCAAAATTCCAGGTAGGACCAACCACTGCTCCAAGACTTCCTTATCTTGACAGAAAGATATACATAATTATAAAATAATTATGTATAACAAAGGCTTTAGCACTGTGATTTACAAACAATACTGAAAGAGAAATGGTAGGCAACTTCAATTTTGACTGGAAAACAATACTGTATGTTTATTTAGTAAAATATCGAAGGAGATTTCTACAATAGTTATGCAAGGGTATGAACCATGCATACTAATAAATTATAACAAACACCCCTGGGAGATTTTTCAGTGGCGTGCTTCTTTTTACTGGGAGATTGCTAACTTTCCAATGTTGTTTCTAGTTGAATTGTTAAAAACATATGCAGATGAATTAAAGTAAACATCACTGTTTTTTTGCATTGCATTACTTTGTGTTAATGTATTTAATTACTTGAATTATTGTAAAACTAAAAAGTAATTATAACTGCCCAAATATATAGGGAACATATTATAATTATTGTATGTGGGTACCCCTGCAATACAAATGCAGGGCCAAAGGAACAATTGTTATTTTTATTCTGCTCTAATAAAAATGATTTTAAATTGTACTAATTTACCTCTATCTAAAATTATAGAAAAAATATTTATAGTCATGTCAGTGTTGCAAACAGTCTAAGCTAGATTAGATAAATACAGGGCACCATACTGTAGCTGGCTTCAGAATTGTAGTGGGTAACTGCAAATCGCACCTCTTCATGGATTTTGTACAGTGAAGAATATGTTTAAAAACAGACACATGATTACTGAGCTAAAGCCATGTGATGTTTAGCAAGCAAAGGGGATTTTTTTTTTATTTATGAAGCCTGGTGATTTAGATTTTTCTTATTATTTTGCAGAGTATATGCAATATATTCACACAAAAATAGTGAGCCTGAAAATACAAAACAAAAAAAGCTACAATCAAAAATAACAATATACCAAAAAAGTAATATATGTGATTAACATAAATGAACATAAAATTAAGTGATATTAAGGTAAGATGAAAAAAGGCCACCTAAATCCAATGCGTCCTCCGGTGTTAATGACTTCCACCCTTAAGGGATTCACACCACCACCTGTGCACAACACTACTGCAGCACTCACTGACTCCAGAGCTGTCAAAGGAAACAGCAAACAATGAATTTGTATAATGATTTTCCAGCCCTTTATAACAAGTCATACAGCTTCACCAAAGTACTGAAGTCACTTGGTAATATCACCTCTCCCTACTAAAAGAGGTCTTGCTGATGTTAAGAACCAGAGGTGAGTACTTTCTTGGAGGCCAATACAGGCCATCTCCAATTCTTCATGGTCTTTTGTTGATCACCATAAGCTGCACAGCACACTCTTCTCAAACAAACAGCTCATGGTGATCAACAAAAGACCATGGTGAGTAGATGAGGGGCTGTATTGGCCTGCAAGAAGGTTCCCACCTGTGGTTCTTAACTTCACCAAGTCAACCTCTTTTAGTAGTGATATGTGGTATTATTAGGCGATTCTGTGCAAAATTTTTACACAAACGTGTTGTTTGCTGCTTTCCTTTGGCAGCTGTGGAGTTGGTGAGTGTGTCAGCAGTGTTGTATACATGTGGTGGTATTAATCCCTTAAAGCTGGAAGTTATTAAACACCAGAGGACATATTGGATTCAAGTGGACTTTTTTCACGTTACTTTAATGTCACTTAATTTTATGTTTCATTTATGATAATCACATATTGGTCTTTTTTGAGACATTATTTTTGATTGTAGCTTTTTTTGTTTTGTTTTTTTGTATTTTCAGGCACTGCTCCATTTTCTTTAGATTACAGGTGCATCTCAATAAATTAGAATATCATCAAAAAGTTTATTTATTTTAGTAATTCAATTCAAAAAGTGAAACTCATTTATTATATAGATACATTATACACAGAGTGATATATCTCAAGCATTTCTTTCTTTTAATTTTGATGATTATGGCTTACAGCTAGTGAAAACCCAAGATTCAGTATCTCAGAAAATTAGAATATGACATATATCAATAAAAAAAGGATTCTTAATACTAAAATGTTGGGTCACTGAAAAGTTTGTCCATGTTCAGTATAGCATGCACTCAATACTTAGTCAGGGCTCCTTTTGCATGAATTACTGCATCACTGTGGCGTAGCATGGAGGCGATCAGCCTGTGGCACTGCTGAGGTGTTATGGAAGCCCAAGTTGCTTTGATAGCAGCCTACAGCTCGTCTGCATTATTGGGTCTGGTGTCTCTCATCTTCCTCTTGACAATACCCCGCAGATTCTCTATTGGGTTTAGGTCAGGCAAATTTGCTGGCCAATCAAGCACAGTGATAACATGATCATTAAACCAGGTAGCATGAAGTGCTCTAGAATTTCCTTCTAGATTTCCTTATATTATGTGTGTAATGAATATATAATATATAAGTTTCACTTTTTGAATTGAATTACTGCAATAAATGACCTTTTTGATGATATTCTAATTTATTGAGATGCACCTGTATATATTTGGGTTTTCTGCACTGACCTACTGCAAGCAGGCTTAAACACTCTAGCTTTGGTTTTTACCACTTTTATATGTAATATATTATTCTATTAAAGTTTTTGAACTTAATCTGCTTATCTTAATGTTTTAATAACTAGGGTGATAATTGGACCAGCTTTGTTGCCATATTCGAAGATGTATGACAAATACACTTTGTTTATTGATGATTCGCAAAGCATTGCAGTATTCGTAAAAAACAGTTACTTTTGCAGTGTTGATTTACTAAAACAATTGGCCAAGGGAAGCTGTGCCACCTTCAATCATCCAAGCTTTTGCAAGCAAAAATCCTTTTATTTTAAATTCCCTCTATGAATGGTTGGGCATTTGAAATGAACATTTGAAAGTTTCACTGGGCACAGTTTACAGCTGCTGCTTTAGCAAATCCTAAATTGCTGTTGTCCAAATTCTAAGTAGGGTTTGGTTGTACATCTTTCACAATTTGCTTAGAAACGATCATACTTACTAGTGGTAAAGCTATGATTAAAATGTACATATTTCTGTCAGTTCGAACTTAAAGGAGATGCCTTGTTGTTGCTTGGTATTTTTACTTATTTGGTTTAGCTTTTAATCATGAGATATAAAGCTCATGTCAGCAAGCTTTGAACTGAATCCTTAAGATGTGGTCTAATGAGATTTGGCTGTACTAAAGGTATAGGAATTGCAACTGCCCTCTTTACTGGCCAGTTTACTAAATAAAAAAAATAGAAAGAAAATTATAGGTGAAACATGATAAGAAAAAAAATAACATATTTTGCTCAAAACATTTGCTAGATCTATATACTGTATGGCTACCTGCAAACTAGTATTTAGTGATCAAATGTATGTGAAAGTAGTTAGATTTTCTCTTCTACCTCTTTTACATTTATTTTATTTTATTTAACAACTAATGCATATGGATGTGAAATTAAAAGGCATAGGAATTTATTTTCTACATGAGTTATAGTCACTCCTGCACAAATTGATATGTGCAGTCTGTAAGGCATAGGACAAGTCCCTGCCGGCATGCAGCACCCCAACTCCCATAAGGCTGTCCTGATTCAGATCAGTGTACGCTATATTTTTGTTCTAGTTTCTCTTGGTCAGACTAACCTGTTTCACAACCCCACTTGTGTCCCAAGTAATTAAAAAAAATGTCATGCACATGATTGGAAATTGCAAGCCAACATATGCTCATTTGGCTACTTTAAAAAGGTATCCCAGAATGCTTATGTTCATTAACTCAGTTTTTATGACAGCATCCTTATGCTCATTTATCTTTAACAAGATAATTCCAGACATTGATGTGTAGCTGACAAATGCTTTTCTAAGTGAATCAGTTAATTATGTTTTCATTGCTATAATATCAACACTGGAGATCTATAAACTGTCAGGATTAGGAAGTCTAGTGGTTCAGGTCAGTCAGGCCTACATAAGGTATGCTATAGAACCTCTCTGAAGTAAAGGCTTCGGCAGAAGACTTTGTGGTAGATATGGAGCATTCCAAAATCTTGCAATTCATCATTTATTTATTCCCAGAATTTAAAAATGCAGACAGGACCCCTGTTTTTCTTAGGAAAACTGAACAGTAAAATAAACAATGAAGACATGAAAACCTACAACTTCCATATTGCCAGAGTATGTACTAACCTGTCTCTACTTCGTCGTGAAGGGAAAGCAGCATTGCAACCAGCTACTGTGCAGACGTGCATCTCTTTCAGATGAACGTTCCTGTAGTGCAGCTTCACACTGTATGAGCTTTTGAAACTCTTTTTGCACACATAGCATATTTTAGGATCGGGACTTGAGCAGAGGTCACCCTCCGGAGAGAATTTTTGAGGGCTTCCATAGTTCAAAGATGAACCTAAGCTTTCATGAAGTGCAGCCATGCCAGCACTACCCCCATTATAAAGTCCATAGTGGCTCATGTAAAACATATCATATGTAGGGTCTGTAAACTCTTCTTTTACCTTTATAACAGCCTGCTGATGACAGTCAATGTGATTCTCAAAAGGTTTCTCATTGTCTGTCATAGACCTGACATTACTTTCTTTGTGAAAGGAAAGGTGATCATCTTCCATTGGTTCATCACAATACTTTGGCTCAGATGATTCTGAATCATTTTCAAAATCTCTCTCATGTTCCGGGTCTTCTGAAGCGATACTGTTTGCTCTGGTGTCTGTCCTCAGAATACATCTACCACTGCCATTCTTTGAGTAACTGTTGATGGACAATCCAGGACTTAAATCACCTTGAGAATTGTTATCTTGGTTAATGTCATTTGTGGAAGGACAGTGATCTAGATCTTCATCTTCCTCATCAAATTCATCAGCTGTATCAATCACTTCCTTTTCAATTTTGACGGGCATACTTGATTTCCGTGGCTTCTTCTTGGGAGCCAAGTCTGTGTTTGCATCCTGTGTTGACATGTTGATCACAGATGATGATAACTCTTGTGGCAGAGAAGGAAGAGGTTGTTCCACCCCCAGAGGTGCTGGCAACATTGGGCTAGTAGGTAGTGATGTTGGAGGGCTCACCATATCTCCTGAATTTAATAAACTTCTGTAAAAAGGAGGAACAGGTTGTACAGTCTTTAATGCAGGGAACACCAGTTGGCTGGAAAGTGAATTTTGCAAAATAGGGTCCAAGGGTGGTGTTGAAAAGCCCATTGGAGGTCGACCAGGGCTTGTTAGAGATAGGCTTGATTTTGTACTTGCTATAACAGGGGTAGCTGCTCCAGATGTTGCACGGATAAGGTCTTTATCTCTATTGTTCCTCAGCATTGGCATGTGAAGCCGAGGATTGGGATTTGCACTATGCCGATTTCTACTTCTAAGAGAACTGAAAACCATGTTGCAGCCTTCAATGGTGCACCTGTGTTTTATCTTAAGATGGACAGCATTGTAGTGAATTTTTAAAGTTCCCTTATCATAAAAGGTTTTTCCACAAGCATTGCAAAATACCCTGCCTTTCCTTGATGATGCTCCCATCCGCCTCATCCTGTGAATTTTAAAGGAACTTTTGACATGGTCAGGTTTATTAATTTCATTGGTAGGTGTTGAGGCTTGAGAAGGGGAGGCATTATTTGGCTCTGTTTTTGGCTCAACGTTTGTAATGCTACTCAAAGCATTTCTATTGGACGGTTGTTCACTCCTGCTATAAGGCATGGGGGAGACCTCAGACTCACTGGTCTCTTCACATTCATTCTGATTTGAATTGTTAGGATCCCGCAACCTCAGTCCAGGGTGTTCTAGCATAAGCCCATTAGGAGGTAATCCAAGCATAGGAGCTGAAACTGGATTGATATATTGGAACGGAAGGAGAAATGCAAGGCTATTGGGCATGTTCTCAAAGTGGTGAATACTGGAAGGGTTGCTGTTTTCTAAGTGAGAGAGAACACTTGGACTCCTGGTGCGGTTGTTGCTTTCAATAAAAGTTCTTATGTCTGAATCAACCTTTGAGGAAGGAACAGCCACTGCCTGACCTTCTTTCTCCTGAATGGCCATAAGCTCCACAATAGATTTTGTCTCTCCAAACCTTAGAAATTGCTGTAGTGTGATGATCTCTTCTTCCCGGGACATAATGGCCCAGCGGTCCAGGACTTTGCCAGCAGTATCCTAGAATCAACATAACAAAAATATAATAAACACATATAAAACATTATAAAGATATCAATGTTTGTTTAAACAGTACAAATGGGCAAGTCACTATAATGAGAAGATGGTAAAGAAACTTTTTGCCATGTAAATGTGGTAATTACAATCACATTAAAACAGATTGTATTAACTAATTTCAAAACAAACACAGTATATAACACTAGAACTCTGTGAAACTAACCGCATGTAACCTTGCTATTTTAACTGTGTGATCTAGCTGTGTTACAACTGCTTAGCATAAATTAGTATAAGATGTGAAATCATACTGTGCAACGAAGTAGCTAAAACTGTACTATGCACCATAAAACATTTCTTAATTTAAAACAGCCACCAATAGCATTTGCAAGTCTACACCCATGAACATGCAACATTTAAGGTAGAAGTCCAGTAAAAACTTTATTTTTGCCTGTGTCCCATTTTGGGGAGACTTCCCCTCAATTACTAACCTGGTGACCATACAAAAATGTGGATAAACTTCCCAATGGAGACACAGAATACAATTTGTTTATAATTTATAAGCAATAACAATAATAAAAACTTCCTGCCTGCTTGTTGCAAGGCTGTGTTTAACTGACTAATTAAGCCATTCCCATCTAAGCTAGGAGAGCAACAACTAGAATTAAATGTCCACACATATTCACAGTTGCAATATTTTTCCTTGCTGTAAGGAATATTTATCATTGCGCTTTCCCGAAGAACAGTCATTATGTTAAAAACAACTCTGTGACATAATCATTAAGGACACACATAGGTTTTGAGGCATACTAGTGCCAAGCAATATCAGTACAGTCACACAAACATTAATCTAAAAAGGTTGCTAAGCAACAACACAGTCTGGATAAGAAATTAAATGTGAATAAAATGTAGTATTTTGGAAAGTAAACCTGTGGTTATTGTAAAAATAAAGCGTGTTTCCAGACAGAAAATCTGCTTTAAAGTCTTCCAACATTTTTTGGTAGTCCTAAAAATATTTTTACAGCTTTTAATAATGCTCCTTAGAGCATGTAAAGTATAGGCAGCACTTTATGAGATGGTAGCCTGCACTTTTAACATCATAGCCAATATTCAGCCTGTTCTTATATGTATGATCATATTCATTGCTATAACATACTAAAACTGCCTTAGTTTTATAAAGCTTTAGAGTAAGTCTTTATATGTTCTATGAAGTAAGAAATGCAATTTAATATTTGAAAGCAGTCTTTCAAATATGTTGGCAGCAGTGGTAATTTTACTGTGGTATATACACATATACAGAGGCTAATTTATTACCAGGGAGCCCTGTTATATTTGACATGAGGCCTATCAAGATGCATTTGCTTCCCTCTAACACAACTGCATTTAAAATAGAGAAGATCCTTTGTAAATTATATATTAATGAGAATGTTTTAACAATTTTAGTAAGGCAAGCTCCTTAGTATATGATTTTTTTTTTACTCAGTATTAATATAAATGGTGATAACTCTCCCATTGTGTAGCAGAGAATGAGTAATATCCAAAAAGTTTACTTAGTTTTTACTTAGTTTTGCCTGTATTATACTGACAAAGCTACACTGGGTGATAACAACAAAGGATCCAATAACTAACAATTAATCAAACCACTGTGGCAAAGATATCACTAATGACTTGATACAAAAGTGTATGAAATAAAAGGTTTGTAACCTTTACTTAATCAAGTGTATTTTTTTTCTTAATGATGTAGTACTGCTGTGGCACATCTTTTCCAGAATGGTGAAAGATTTATGTGATCGATGCTTTAGACATTGGTTGCTTGACCCAGTCCATTAATATTTGTTCCTAAAGCAGTACTCCATTATTGTAAGTGAGTTTCAAGATGAACTCAAGAAAGTAACCTTTTTTTTTAAAATTACATTGGTCCAGCTCAGTTACATCTAAACGTTTCAGAGCTCACATCTGGAGGGGACAGTTCACTGTTGTACCAAGTGCTACATACAGCCAGCACTGGTCTCTTTTTATTGCTGCTTGAGCGACTTGCCTTCTGTATACTGAACACAGGAGGTCATTTACTTGGCACCTCCACAATTCAGAAAATGTCTTGTATTTCACTGAATACAAGGTGTTTTCTGATAGGACAAGGCAGGGATCATGACATCATCATTGCCTCCTCCAATAAAAAATTGCTTGTATTTACTGAAAAAAATACAAGCCACCCTCAGTGTTCAATGTACAGAAAGCAAGTCACTTGTGCAGCACCCAGAAGTGATCAGTTTCATTTCAATGCTCAAAATGAATATATTTACTATAAATAATATATCGTAAGCATATAATTAATTACAGAACAGCTATTTTTATACACAAAAGCAATTTTGCAGTCATTTGGCATTAATAACAATAGAGGTAATTTAAGGTAGGCAAAGTGTACCATGTGCTGACAGCCAAGTATAAGGCTAGCCACAGCAACATGAGATAAAGGTTGGAAGATATAGCCGCTGAAAGAATTGTCTTGTGAACATGCCTCTCCATAACATGCACAGACATTTTTTTCAGAAATCTACTGGTCAACTGATCCCAAGAGAGAAATGCATCACAACAATGCCTTGTCCTGAAAGACTGCTTTTCTTTTCCTCAGTGATAAGGTTATCTGTAGGGTTGTCTGCTCTGTGCTAAAACATGAACACACAAGTGATCTGATTATGCATGTTTATGGAAAGATCATTCATAAGAAAGTTTGTTCCATGATTGGATCAACAGATCACCATTTCATTTTGCTAGATAGCTGTGGATTTAGTTCATGCCTGCATTAGTAAAATAAAACAGACATGGTCCATAGCATCATGCCCATGTATTTCAGCATCTAAAAGTACAAGATTACTTAACCTCCCTAGCGGTCCGATTATGTCCATATTTCTGTGCTCAAAGCGGTACATTTTTTTGCATGGAAATATGTATTTTTTTTAATGTAGGCCTGTAATTTTTAGGAATAACTCACTGAAATCTGTCCGAACAAGAGTCTAATATACATCCCGGGTAGGATAAAACTTGAAACACGAAATCATAAATTATAATTTAATAAATAATCATAAAAAATAATAATATAATAATAAATTTAATTCAATAATATAATCAAACCAAAAACACTGAAATTTGAAATATAGCGCCAAGTTCGTACATCACTGAGCAAAGTCGCAAAATCGTTTTCAGTGTCTGATGACGAATTTCCCCCATGAACCATTATCACTCAATTCTGCAAGTAGTTCTAATTTACTATCGCTGTTCTCTAGCTGGTCTAAAACCGATTTTGACCTAAAGGGACGCTTTTTGGACGCCATGGACGTTTCTCAGTTTCCAGGCAGAAAGAACAGTAAAAATGCAGGCAGGGCACAGGACAAAGCACTAGGGACAAAATGTATGTGAAATGGTTTGATACAGTAATGTTTTACTATGTGATTTTAGTGATTTTAGTGAATGTCACTTTTTGTCATTTTCAAATTTCCCGCCAGTTCCGTCCCCCGTACGTCCCGACGCTCGCAGGGGACGGAACCCAGAAGACAGATGCCGGCATCCACCGGATTACATTGCTGGGGACACTGCAGGGGGACATTGCGGGAGCACAGGACAAGGTAAGAGATCGAGGGATCCCGGAGCAGCACCGCATGGTATTCCCAAGTGTAGCTCGGGGTTACCGCTTGTGGTACTGAAACTTACCCCGAGCTACACTCGGGAATACCGCCAAGGAGTTTAAAGATGAATTCCCAATATGGTATAGTTACATTGGTCCAAGTTGGACCATTTCAATGGGCTGGCCTACCCGCACAGACACAGGGAAAAAAGCCCCTGACCTTTTTTTAAATCAATCCACATTGATTGGGTGTGCACTAAAATTCACTGCATTTGCACCCTTGCATGTCTGCTAAACAGCAGTGCATCGGTCTGCATAACAGATATGTGAGTGATTTTGCACATATTCCCATCATACATTAATGTAAACCAAGCCTTATAATGGGGTTCCTTGAGATATAAAATACTTTTCAAGTAGCTGTGACTGAAAAAAGGTTGAAAAACACTAGTATATACCATACCTGCCCAATGCTCTTGGAAGATGGAAATCACTGACACCGCTATTCCAGTGATCTCCAATTGCTTCCAGGTGTGCTGAGTTGCTGGATTTATGCATTCTGATTGGATGAGGTGGAGAGGCGGGGTAGTGATATCATGACCTACTGAGTTCAGAATCTAGCAGGCCAGTCACTTAGCACAGGACCCTAAAGCAAGTGAAGATGCTAATACTACTATTTAAAATAGGCGTGTGAGTTGTGAGTTGAGTGTCCCACAAATAGTAAACAACAGACTGCATGCTCAGCTGTATAGTGTTTATAATCACATGGTATCACAAGGTATCCACAAATACTGTTATAGTTGCATTACATAGTTAGTCTGGCTGAAAAAAGACAGAAGTCCATCCAGTTCAACCATTAAAAAAAAAGTTATAATCCTATACCCACAGTTGATCCAGAGGAAGGCAAAAAGAAAAAACCCAGCAAAGCATGATCCAATTTGCTCCTGCAGGGAAAAAACTTCCTTCCTTATCCCCCGAGAGGAATTGATTCCCTGGATCAACGTTACCTATGAATGTTAGTATCCAGTTATATTATGTGTATCTAAGAAATAATCCTGGCCTTTTTTTAAAGCAATCCACTGAGCTGGCCAGAACCAACTCTTGAGGGAGTCTATTCCACATTTTCACAGCTCTCACTGTGAAGAAACCTTTCCGTGTTTGGAGACTAAATTTCTTTTCCTCCAGACGTAAAGAGTGCCCCCTTGTCCTCTGTGATGACCTCAGTGTGAATAGCTCTACACTGAGTTCACTATATGAACCACTGATGTATTTATACATGTTGATCATATCCCCCCTTAATCTCCTCTTTTCAAGAGAGAATAAATTCAGTTCCTCTAATCTTTCTGGCTCCTCCATGCCTCTTATCAGTTTGGTTGCCCTTCTCTGTACTTTCTCCAGTTCCCCAATGTTCTTT